GGTGTGAGTTGTGGATACTGTTTCAGCTTTCTGCAGGTAGCTGCCCTGTTTTGGCAGCACCATTTGTTGAAGAAGTTATTTCCCCATTTGATAGGTTTTATTTCCTTGTCAAATATCAATTGACCATAGATAGCGGGGTTTATTTCTGGTTTCTAAATTCTGTTCCATTGGTCTGTGTGCCTGTCATTGTACCAGTTCCATGCTGTTTTGGTTACTATTGCTGTGTAGTAGGTTTTGAGTTCAAAGAGTGCTATGCCTCACACCTCATTTTTGTTTTTCAGAAGTGCTTCTCATATTTGGGATCTCTTGCCTCTCCAAATGAATTTGAAAATTTCCCTTGCAATCCTCTTGAAAAATGAATTTGATACCTATATTGGGATTGCATTGTACATACAGATTGGTTTTGGTAGGATTGTTATTTTCACAATATTGAGTCTTCCTATCCATGAACAGGGCACATTTCCCCCATTTCTTTAGGTCTTCTATTGTGTCTTGTAGAAATGTTCTGTAGTTTTCTCTGTACAGGTCTTTTCTATCTCTAGTTAAGTTCATTCCAAAGTATCTCAATTTGTGGTTGGTTATTGTAAATGGCATTGCTTTCTTGGTTTCCTTCCTTGAGTTCTCCTTGTTCCTGTAGAGGTATGCACTGATTTTTGGATATTGATCTGATATCCTGCCACCCTACTAAATTGGTGTATTAGCTTTAGCTTTTTTGTTGAGTCCCTGGGGTTTTCTGTGTATACTACCATACTCTGTATATAGCCATACTTTAATCATCACATTGCTGATCTGGATACCTTTTATTTCCTTCTCTTGTCTTAGTGCCCTTGCAAGTCCTTCCAGTAAAATACTGAATAGAAGTGGTGACAGTGGGCATCCTTGTCTGGTACCTGTTCGCAAGGAAAATGCTTTTAGTCTTTCTCCATTGAGAATGATATTAGCTCTTGGTTTTGCATGTATACTTTTCACTGTGTTGAGGAAATTCTCTTCTATTCCAATTTTGTGTGTTTTTATCAGGAAAGGGTGTTGTATTTTGTCAATTATCTTTTCTGCATCAGTTGCTAAGATCATATGGTTCTTGTTATTTGCTTTGGTAATATGGTGATTATCTTGATTGTTTTTCTTACATCGAACCATCTTCGCATACCTGTTAAGAATTTCAGTTGGTCATGATGAATTATTTTTTTTTATGAGCTTTTGGTTCTTTTTCCTAGGATTTTGTTAAGGATTTTTGCATCTATTTCATGAGAGATAATCATTCTGTAGTTTTCTTTTTTGGTAATATCTTTGCCTAGTTTTGGTATTAGAGTTATGCTTGTTTCGTGGACTTACTCTAGGAGTGTTCCTTCTTTTTTCTGTTTTTTCAAAATAAGTAGAATTTGTGATAGTTCCTCTCTGAATGTTTGGTAGAATTCAGCTGTGAAATCATCTGATCTGGGACTTTTCTTATGGAGAAGTCTTTTTATGACCTGTTCAGTTTCTTCTTTTGTGATGGGTCTTTTCAAGTGTTCTATATCTGTCCTTGTCTATCTGGGTAGGACATGAGTTTCAAGGAATTTGTCAATTTCCTCTATGTTTTTTAATTTATCAGAGTATAGCTTTTCTTAGTATTCTGATATTATAGATTTAATTTCCTCTGGTTTTTTTGTGATGTCACCTCTGCCATTTCTTAATCAATGTATCTGTGTCTTCTCTGTTTTGGTGTTGGGTTTTTTTTTTTTTTTTTGTTTTGTTTTTTTTAAGTTTGCCAGTGGCTTGTCAATTTTATTGACCCTTTCAAAAAACCAGCTCCTGGTCTTACTGATGGTTTTAGTTGTTTTCTATCTCACTGATCTCAGCTCTTGTCTTTATAATTTCTCTTCTTCTATTTGATGAAGCTGTTGAGTTAGATCATTGATTTTTCTTCTTTCTTACTTTTTCATGTACATGCCTATTCCTATGAACTGCTCCACGGAGGACTGCCTTAGCTGTATCCTGGAGGGTTTGGCATGTTGTATTTTCATTTTCATTTGCTTCAAGGAATTTTTTGTTTCATCCTTTATTTCTTTTATAACCTAATCATTATTCAGAAAATTATTCAATTTCCACATAGGTGATTTTGTAAGATTTACCCACCTGTGGTTAATTTCTAGTTTTATGTTATGGTGTTGTGGTCTGAGAAGATATTTTGTATTATTTCAATGTTTTTAAATTTGTTGAAGTTTGCTTTATGTCCTAATATGTGATCAATTCTGGAGAATGTGCTTTGTGCATTTGAGAAGAAAGTGAATTGAGTTTTAGTTGGGTGCAGTACCCTGAATACCTCCAAAGGTCGAGTTGACTGATTGTATAGCTTAGATCTTCTGCATCTTTGTTGGACTTCTTTTGGGTTGACCTGTCCTTTGGTGAGAGTGGTGCTGAAGTGCCCTACCACTATTGTGGTGCTATTTCTTTCTTCAATTCTGTTAACCATTTTATGTATTTTGCAGGTCTATCATTTGATGCGTAAATGTTGACCAAGGTTATGTCTTCTTGAACTTCCTTATCTTTTATGGTGGTTTTCATTCTGAAGTCTATTCTATCAGAGATTAGTATTTTCACTTCTGCTTTTTTGAGGTTGCCATTTACTTGTATATTTTTTCTTCCAGCCTTTGATCTGGAGTCTGTCTTTCTCTTCTTTTTTTAAGATGTGTATTTTGTAGACAACATATTGATGGACTTTGTGTTTTTATCCATTCTGCTACTCTTTTTCTCTTAATTGCCCCATTTAGTCCAATCACATTAAGTGTGATTATTGTTAGGCCACGTTTTGCTATTGCCATTTTGTTATGTTTCTTTTACTGTTGCTTCTTGGTACTATGGCCCTACCACCTTCCTTTGGCATCTCCATGTAGAGGAGGACTTCACTTAAAATTTCTTGTACTTTTAGCCTTGTTTTCACAAATTCCGTAAGTTCCTTTTTTTCTGCAAAGGATCTAATTTCTCCTTCATATTTGATGGAGAGCTTTGCTGGGTTGAGGACCCTAGGCTGGAAATTGTTTTCTTTCAACTTTCTGTCTATGCCATTCCATTGTCTTCTAGCTCGCTTGGTTTCTGCATAGAAATCAGAACTTAATGTAATTCTTTCCCCTTTGCAAGTGACTGTTTTTCTCACAATGTTTTTAGTATTCCATCCTTATCTTTTAATTTGGAGAATTTTACTATGATATGCTTTGATGTTTTTCTTTTGGGGTCTAGTAATTGTGTGTTTGCTGTGCTTCTTGAATGTGGATTTCCCCATTCATCTGAATTCCTGGGAAGGTTTTGTCCATTACTTCTTCAACAATTTTTTCAGTGATTTTCCTATCACTCCCATGTTCTGGAATTCCAATCATATGTATGTTATCCTTTTTGATGTCATCCCACATGATACTAATATTTTCTTCATTTTCTTTACATCTCATCTCCAATTTTTCTTCTAGTATTTTCTAGTGAGGCTCTTGTCTTCCAGCTCACTAATTCCCTGTTTCATCTATTCAGTTCTACATTTTTTTGTCCTACCAGTGTGTTGGACACTTCTAACATTTCAGTCTTATTATTCTGGATTGTATTTTCATGCTTTTCTGTTATTTTCAGTACTGTGTTGGATGTACTGTCTCTGTCTTGTGATTTATTTATTTATTTAGTTAGTTCTTGTACCTCTTTATGACAAAGCTAGACAGTGACTAGGGATGATAGAAGGAGAATTGATGCCTTTGAGCTGTGGTGGTGGAGAAGAGTATTGACTATACCATGGACTGCTAGAAGAACAAACAAATTCGTTCTGGATAGGGTAAAACCAGGCTGCTCCTTGGAGGCAAGGATTCTGAAGCTCTGGCTGATAAACTTTGGGCATGTTGTCAGGAGGGACCAGTCCTTGAAGAGGGACATTATACTTGAAAGAATGGTGGGATAGGGCAGGAAAGGAGGACCCTCGATGAGATAGATTGAACTCAATGACTGAGGGAATGGTGGTGAATGTGTTGGAGACAGTAAGTTTGGCTCAGGGTAGAGCATGGTTCAGAACTGCTGTACGTAGGATTGCAGTGAGTCACAGGTGACTTGGTAGCACTTGGAGCAGCAGCAACAACAACAACAACAGTATCTTTATTTATACTATCAATTCTTTCTTCCATCTTTTGCATTTTCTTCCATAGCTGTTCAAGTTGTGCCTCATTAATATGTTTTTTTCTGGATTATTATATCTTGGGTATTTACTCTTTTAATGGCTTCCAATGCTTTGTCTATAATTTGTTTGTTTTTCTGTAGCTTTTAAAATAACTCCACATCAGCATATTTCTTCTTATTTTCTCTATCTGCGGTATTCATTGTTAACTTTTTTAGGAGAAGGGGTATTTTGTTTTTTCATGATGGACTGAGACAAATTGCTTTCTTTACATTTTGTGAGTCATAGTAGATATTAGGTTGTTTTAACTATATAGTGAACCAGAGGTTAGCAATGTTTTGTGAAGCACAAAACATTGTGCTTCCTTCTTGGCACGATGCCCAGAGGGCCAAAGCTGATAGCAGTGTTTCCCCCAAAGTACCAGAATGTCAAATAAGGAAGCCTGTTGTTCCCTTCCAGAAATGGTGTCTCCAACCAGCTCAAGCTGTCCTATTCCCTTCTGCTTGAGATTAAGGGACCCTGCATGGCGTAGCTAGACAGCCATGTTTCCCCCAGAGTACCTGAATGGCAAACCAGGAGGCATATTGTTTCCTTCCTGAAATGGTGTCAGTGGTTCTGGCAGGCAGTGGTTCTCTTGCCAGCAAGGGTGTGAATGCACCTGGGTTGGGCCACATCCTTTAGCTGATGCTGGGGAAGCGGTGGCTGGAAGATGCTCCTGGGCCAGCTATGCTACACAGGCCTGGGTGTCTTGCAGCAGAGCAATGGTAAGGTCCCCCAGGAGCTGTGTCTTGCAAGAAGAGCCACATCTCATGAGATGAGCTGTGGTGTTTTTTTAATGCTTAGCATGAAAATAATTTTTTGTTTTCTTACTTATTAGGTCAGGAGACTAAAATCTCATCCCTCTATTATCATATGGAGTGGCAATAATGAAAACGAAGCAGCACTGAGGTTGAATTGGTATGATGTACCTTTGTATAAACAGCAGTTGTACATTGATGATTATGTGATGTTATACGTGAAAAATATCAGAGAGATTGTCCTGAAAGTAAGTCATGATTTCTATACAGTAGAATTTAAGAATATGTTTTTAAAATGGATCCGTTTCTATATTAAAAATTGTGTATTTTATATTCTTTTTGAGAATTATGTTCAATAGCATCATTTTAATGAATAATATTCCATTGTAAAGCTGAAGCATTTGAAAAGATTAATGGGTATGAACTCATTTGAAAATTAACTCATGTATGGAATTCTCCATATATACATGCTTATACTTAATAGTAGGTTATCACAGACTACTTTGAGTCCATTCATGGATCACCAAAGGCTTAGAATCCTTAGATTAAACAGTTTATTTGCATTCTCTTTTAAAACTCTGTGCTGCAATCCCGAAGACACACAATTAAAATTCATCAGCTGCTCTGTGGGACAAGGATGAGCAATCTCTTCCTGTGCAGTTAACGGCTTCTCAAAACCCGCTGGAGGGTCAGCTATGAGTGGGTTCCAACTCAATGACACAGAACAAGAACAACAACAACATATTGTTAGCTGCCAGTAGAGTCACTTCGAGCTATGCAAGGCATTCAACTGAGTGGACTATAATGAATTATTGGTGACATTGAGAAGAGTGGAAATTCTAGAACACCTCCTTTGACTCATGAGAAACCTATATATAGACCAAGAAGCAATGGTTCAAACAAAAAAGAGAATAGTAAGTGGTTTAAAATCAGAAGAGATGTGAATGAGGATTGTCTCCTTTCTTCATACCTATCTCGTGGCCTATTGGTAAGAAGCTGTGTTGCAATCCCAAAGGCACATGGTTCAATTCCACTAGCTGCTCTGTGAGAGAAAGATGGACAATCTCTTCCCTTGTGATTAACTGCCTCTGAAAATCCACTGGAGCATCAGCTATGGGTCAGATCCAACTCAACCAGGCACAGTAACAGCACAACATTTAATATGTATTCTGAAGAAATAATTTGAGAAGGTGGACTTTATGAAGAATAATATAGCATTAGGATTGGAGGAAGACTCAAAAACTTGTGTTATGCATTTCATACAACCTTGTTTGTAGAAAGTGGAGAAGACCTAAAGCACTTACTACAGAAGATCAAAGACAACAGTCTTCAGTGTGGATTATACCTCAACGTCAAGAAAACGTTAATCTTCACAGCTGAATTAGTAGGCAGCAATATGATCGAGAAAAGATTGAATTGTCAAGGGTTTAATTTTACTTGGTAGCTGCAGTCAAGAAATTAAAAGACAAGTTGTACTAAGCAAATCTGCTGTTAAGGACTTCTTTAAATTGCTAAAGAGCAATGTTTTCAGTTTTAAAACTTAAGGTATGGCTGACCCCATCCATAGTATTTTCAGTTGCTTCATGTACATGAAAGTTGGATAATGAGTAAGGAGACCAAAGAAGAATTGATGCCTTTGAATTGTGATAGTAACAAAGAGTGTTTAATATGCCATGGTCTTTTTGTTGGAACCAACTCATAGCTAACCCTCCAGTGGGCTTTCAGAGGCATTAAATGACACAGGAAGGGATTGCCCATTGTTTTCCTGTGGAGCAGCTGATGGATTTGAACTGCCAAAAGAACAAACAAATCTATCTTGGAGAAAATTCAACCAACGTGCTTCTTAGAAGTAAGGAAGTTTAAACTTTGTCTCATATACTTTGGTCATATTGTCATTACTTTGAAGAGAATATTATGTTGGAAAAAAATAAACGGTCAGGAAAGAGATGAAATCTCTTAATGAGATGGATTGGCACAGGGAGGCAATAATGGGCTAGAGCATGGAGGAAATTGTGAAGACGGCACAGGGTAGGTTCAATCTGTTGTTCATAGGATCATTATGAGTAAGAGCTTACTCAACAGCAACTAACAACAACAGCTGATGTTGTGGTCTATTACATGTTCTACTGCTAACTGATGTATAGAGTTGCAATACATCGCAGGCGACTCAACGGCACATAACAATAATAACATACTATGACAGGCTTGGAAGCAAGTGTGGCATCCACTTCCTAAACAGCATGCCTCTGGAAACTATGAACTTTGATAAATGTCCATAGCTGTAGACAGGCTTCAGGCCTTTTGTTCATAGGGTCGCTATGAATCATGCTCGACTCGAAGGCAAACAACAACAGCAGCAGCTGCTAACTGAAAAGTCAGCAGTTTGAATTCACACAGAAAGAGATAGTCTCCTTTAGTAAACCTCACGAAGCATTTCTCTGATTCATAATCATCTCAGCGGCAGTGGGTTTTGGCTTTTTGCTTATAACAGAACAAGAGTAGTCCTGAGCCATCCTCAGAATTGTTGCTATATTTGAACTCATCGACACAGCCCATTGTGTCAGTCTATCTTGTTGAGGGCCTTCCTCTTTTTCATTGACCCTTTACCGAGCATGATGTTCTTTTTTAAGTCTCTCCTCCCACGTCCCCTACTCCTGATAACAAAGTACATGAGCTGATGTCTCAGCATCTTAGCTTCTAAGAGTCATTCTGGCTGTATTCCTTTGAAGACAGATTTGTTTGTTCTTCTGGTAGTCCATGACATAGTCAACATTCTTCAACAATATGATAAATTCTTAGCGCTCTTCCTTATCCAACTTTTGCATGCATCTGAAGTGATTGAACATAATATGCTCATGGACATGCTTAACATGAAAGGTGCATGCATGAAAGGTGAAGCCTTGGGAGTGGCTTTAGAACAAGGCAAGGCTGAAGATAGAGCAGTGTCCATCCAAGAATGGAAGTGGGGAGGTAATGAAGGAAGAGTGCGAAAGGGTTGGAAGAAATCAGAGCATCAAAGTGTAGTGTGGGGTGAGAGAGCTTTAGAAATCATACATGGTCACGAAATCAGGCTTTGCACACAGAGACAAGTAGTGTTAAAGATAAAAGGAAATACATTATTTGTTAAGTAGAAACTCATTGGAGGTATTTGAAAATAAATAATAATTTTAGTGGAATTATCAGCTACCAAATGTCAGGAACTAAAGAATGAGTGAATGAGTGGGTGATAAAGAAATCTGATGGGCTGCAGGGGATAAGGAGAATTTTTATTGAAGGAATTCCTGAGGTGTCAGGGAGAGAGAGGAGGGGAAGGCAGTGGAATAGAACATAAAAAAAAAATACCAAAACGTAAAGGATAATTGATTTTCTAGTCTTTATACAAGACTGGAAGCAGGAGCGGTATCCACTTCTGAAATGGCTTGCGTCTGGAAACTCTATGTACGAACAGTGCTCAGGCCTTTTGTTCTTAGGGTCGCTATGAGTTGTCTATGACTGGACGGCACCTAACAACAACAACAGTCACTACACACATACACACACACACACACACACACAGAGAGAGAGAGAGAGAGAGAAAGAGAAAGGTGACCCCAGAGATAGATAATTTGATAAAAGAAAAGACTAAAGATTCTTCATTTATTTCAGAGGAGAAATGACGAGTGGAAATTGAGGGAAAGATAGTTATAACAAGATAAAAAAATGAAACCTAAAAGAGAAGAGTTGAGAAAAGCATTTTCTGCATGTCTGTTTTTAGGGAAGCTTTACTGGCCTTCTACAGTGTTTACATTCCCAAAGAACCCTGCACTTTTCCTTCAAAACAGTCATCACATGTATAATTACTTGTTCAGTGTCTGGTTTCACCACTAGATTACAGTTTGCTCTTTGAAGAGATCAGTCATTTCATCTGTCTTGTCCCCTGTGGGAGCTTCAGCACATAGGGAGAACTGCATGCTCAGCACACAGTAAAGGCTCAAAAAGATTTCATGTTTATTGCATGACAACATACAAGTTCCGTGACTTTTGCTTATCTTTATTGTAGAGTGCTGAACAACATATGACACACAATGAGCACTTGACATATATTTGATACAGTGAATGAATCTCATCTTGAAGTGGGAAGTGAGTTCACCTATTGATGTTATATTGTTATTGCTGTTGTTAGGTGCCTTCAAGTCGAGCACGACTCATAGTGACCCTACGAACAAAAGATCTGGACCTTGTTCTATCCTGCACCATCCTCACACTTCTTGACACTCAAGAGCCCATTGCAGCAATCACTGTGCTAATCCACCCAGCTTTCCCCTTCTTTATTGACCCTCCAATCCTTCCCAGCATCATGTCCTTCTCTAAGGAATAGCATCTTTTTAAAAAAATTATTAAATTTTATTAATTTTAATGAACATTTACAGAGATTTGGGGTTTTCATTCATCCATTGTTGCACTATTTTCTCTACCCTCCTCCCCAGTTTGTTCTTCTTCCCCCACCTTGAAAGTCTGTTTTAATTGTCCATTTGCCACAGTGCTTGTCAAAGCCAGTTCTGATTAATCTTCTTCGTCAGTGTGTCCTTTGCCATTCCCTATCACTCCTCCCTGAGAGAGACTTCACCCTGAGTCATAAGGAAAAGGGGATGGCGTATTCTCTTAGCTACTTCCTGCTGAAAAGGGACGCTGTAGGTTTCAGGGTGAAGATCTTCTCTCACTACTCTAAAGGGGCCCTTTGGCAGTAGGAAACACATAGACTATTACGGAGATTGATTTTGGAATTTAGATGCACTGTTATCAGTTGTGAGGAATAGCATCTTAGCAACATGCCTGAAGTATGTGAGGCAAAGTCTTCATCATTCATGTCTCCAAAGAGCACTCCTGCTGCACCGTCTGTAGGACATATCTGTTCATTCTCTTGGTCATCCATGAGATGTTCAGTGCTCCTCTCCAATACCACCGCTTAAAGGCTTCAATTCTTTTCCATCATTGTCCAGCTCTCAGATGCATAGCTAGTAATCAGAAAGACTATGGCCTGAATTAGATGCACCTTAGTCTTCAAACTGACATCACTACTCCTCAATAATTTGGAAAAGTCACAAATTGCAGATTTTCCCAGTACAATTTGTCTCCTTATTTCCTGATTGCTCGTACCAAGGGTGTTAATTGTGGATCCAAGTAAGATGAAGCTGTTGACAGTTTAACCTCCTCTCCATCCATCATGACTCTGCCTATAGGTCCAGTGGTAAGAATCTTTTGTTTTCCTGACATTGAGATGCAGTCAATACTGAAGACTGCATTCCTTGATATTCTGCAACAAGTGCTTCAAATCCTACCCACTTTTAGCAATCAAGGTTGTGTCATCTGCAAAATGACGCTTATTGATGAGTCTCCCTCCAATCCTGATGCCATACTCCTTCTCATAGAGTCAAATTTCTCAGATAAATTGCTCAGCATACAAGTTGAACAGGTATGGAGAAGGAATAAAAACCTAATGTACTCCCTTCCCAGTTCTAAACCATGCAGTGCTCCTCTGCTCTGTTTGCCCAGCAGCCTCCTGGTTCAGGTATAGGTTCGACAAGAGCACAGTTAAGAGCTATGGGATTTCCATTATTCCCAATGTCAGCTACAGCTAGTCTTTACTATCACTTTGATGTGATATTAATGAAATAATTTTGTGTTTTACCTATGTGCCAGGCATTACACTGAATGTTGTTGTTCTTGTTGTTAGCTGCTATCGAGTCAACTTTGACTCATTACCCCATGGACAACAGAATTGAACCTTATTACTTCCTGCCCCATCGTCACCATGTCTGATATGCTCAAGCCTATTATTGTTACAATCGCTGTGTCAGTTCATCTTGTGAAGGGTCTTTCTCTTTCTCTTACCCTCTACCTTTACAAGCATGATGTCTTTTTCCAAGGACTAGTCCCTCCTGACAGCATGCCCAAAGTGTGTGAGACAAAGGGAAGAAATTATGAAGTGAAATAGAAGAACAGATGCTTTAAGAGGGAGCTGAGAAAACAAAGCATTATAATGAAATGTACACAGAGAACTTGGGCTAGAACACCAAAAGAGAAAAACCCACTCAGCATTTCTCAAATTGAAGGAACTGAAGGACAAATGCAAGTTTTGAGTTTCAATACTGAATGATTCTCTGGACAAAATGTTTGTTTTTTAAGTTTCATACTGTGTCTGTATTTTTTTAAAAATATGTTTTGTTGTTATGTGCCTTCAAGTTGCTTGCGACTCATAGCGATCCTATGTACAACAGCCCTAAACTCCACTCTGTCCTGTGTCAATCGCACGATCTCTGACACACCCTTCCCAATTGCCCCAGTCACTGAATCAATCCACCTCATAGAGGGCCTTCCCCTCCTGCGCTGTCCCTCCACCCTCCCAAGCATGATGCCCCTCTCCAAGGACCGATCCCTCCTTGCAACCTGTCCAAAGTATGTTAGACGGAGCCTCAGAATCCTTGCCTCCAAGGAGCCGCCCGGTTTGACCCTTTCCAGGATGAATGTGTTTGTTTTCCTAGCAGTCCATGGTATTCTCAATACTCTTCTCAAGCACCACAGCTCAAAGGCATCAATTCTCCTTCTATCCTCCTTAGTCATTGTCCAGCTCTCTGATGCATACCTTATTTTATTGTGATTTTCATGAAAGTTTACAGAAAAATTGAGTTTTCATTTGTTCATTGTTGCACATTTTCCTTCCTCCCCAACTCTTACCCTTCCTCCAATTAATCTTCCTTTTTAAAAAATATTTATTCATTTTTGCAGTTTCCTCCATCTCCCTCCTTTACCCCCACCCAGTCCACTTTGCAATGCACCTCTTATCCTGGATTGTTGGTATACATGTGCACAAAATCTTGAGTGATACAGAAAACATCAGAAGAGAATAGAAGGAAGACACAGAGTCACTGTACCAACATGTCCAGAAGTAACATAATGATCAAGAACCACACTGAATCAGAAATGATCAGGATGGCACAGCAAGACAGGGCTCAATCTGTTGTTTATATAGGGTTGCTATGAGTCATACTCCACTTGACATCTAACAACAACATTTTCCGTAACAAATAATGTCAAAGGGGCAGTGGTGGTTCAGTGAAAGAATTCTTACCTTCCACATGAGAAACTTCTCTTTCCTGCCAATGTGTTTTATGTGCAGCCACCACAAATGGTGGCTATGATGCCAATAATTTTCAATAGCGCTTCCAGATCAAGACAGAATAGGAAGAAAGGTGTGCCACTCTATTTCTGAAAAACTTATCAATTACATTAATTTGATCTCATTAGCTATCAGAGGGATGCAAATCAAAATAACAGTGAGATATCATCTCACCTCAGCAACAATAGCAAAGTTCAAATAGCAAAAAACAAATGCTGTTGAGGGTTTGGAGAGATTAGAATGCCTCTGAAACCCAATGGAGGGTCACCTTTGGGTCAGTTCTGACTCGATGGTACTCAACAACAGTAACATTTAAAATTACTGTGTTAGAGCAACATGTGTGAAAGGTTGAGTGAAAAATCAATTGCAATAAAAACAAAAAAGAAAACCCTAACAAACCTCCAGTGGTTTGATCCTAGTATGCCACGGGGTTGCAATAGTTGGGGGCTAACTCAGTGATCTTTAACAATAGCCACACAAAGACAGTGTATTTCTTGTTCACTAATATGACAAGATAATTGCCTTTGGTTCACAAACAAGTCACCTTCATGCAGAGATTTTAAGCTCCTTCCTTCTTCAAGCTACCCTTTTCCTCAGGACCTTTCCTGCAAATGACATAAAGAACGAGAAGTAGGCCGTTGGTGCACATAGATTCAAGAAGAGTTTGTAAGCGTAGACTCAGGCTAGGCAGTCACTTCCTCAGAACAGCTCTAACTTATGGAAATGGGAATTTGAATTTGGTGATAATTTTCATATGAGTAATCTCATTTAATATTTACTGTAGCTGTAGGAAGCAGGTAACATTATCATCCTCATTTTACAGATAAGAAAGTAGAGGGTTAGGCCTGTACAGTAAGATTCTGATTTGGGATTTAAACTCAGATCCATCAGAATTGGTAGTTTGTTTTTAACCACTAGAACAGAAGTTCTCAAGAGGTGATTTTGCCCCTGCAGAAACTTTTCGCAATGCCTGGAGACATTTTTTTACTGGTGGTAGAGAAATGCTTCTGGTGTGTCGTGGACAGAGGTTAGGGATGCTGCTCCCATCCTATAGTGCTCAGTACAGCCTGCCAGTACATTCACACTTCAAAGAAGTATTCAACCCCAAATGTCACTTGTGCCAAGGATGAGAAACTGTGGTCACACATGATGGATGAGAGTGTAGACGAGATTATTGGAAAAGATTAGGAACAGCTGCTCTGAGGTGAGCTGAGTGTTAATTAAGAAAAGATAGAAAAGATTGGGAGCGAGCAGAGTTGCAGGTTGTTACTGAATAGGTGAGGATGTTAAGAGTCTTACTGTTTTCTATCAGCTGCTTGGCATTTCTGGGTGTTGTGTGCAAGCGAGTCAGAACTGACTCAGAGTTGACCTCCAGCGGCAGTAAATTGCATGGGAGGAGAACGTCCTTCCTTCTCCTTTGGAGCTACAGGTGGACTTGAACTGCATGCCTTTGGAATTGCCATGCAGCTTCTTGCCACTAGACCACCAGCACTTGATGGTATTTTTTTTGGGGGTGAAAGGAAATCATCTTTTTAAAGAAGTAAATTATCTACCGTTTTCTATGCGCAAATATTTTCTTTATAATTCTTTACTTTTATTCTTAGGAAGACAAGACTCGTCCCTTTATCACATCCAGTCCTACAAATGGGGCCAAATCTGTTGAAGAAGGCTGGGTCTCTTACAACCCGTATAGCACACATTATGGTGACGTGCATTATTACAACTACACTGGTGACTGCTGGGATTGGAAAATTTTCCCTAAGGCCCGATTTGTATCAGAATATGGCTATCAGTCATGGCCTTCCTTCAGTACCGTAGAAAAGGTAAGTCACCTTGCTTTTCAAGCTCCTTTTGTACATCTTCTTTCTAGTCAGACCCTTTACCCATTTAAAAATTAGGTTATTTGTGTGTTTTTTCATTGTTAAGAATATAAAACCATAACAATGTTTTATATTCTTTATACAAGTTCTTTATCATATATGTTGTTGCTATTTTTATGTGCCATCGAGTCACCTGCGACTCATAGTGACCCTATGTATAACAACCCTAAACCCTGCTCTGTTCTGTGCCAATATTATTGTCTCTGACATACCTACCTACCTCCATTACCCCAGTGACTGAATCTATCCATCTCATCAAGAGTCTTCCTCTCCTGCACTGTCCCTCCACCCTCCCAAGCATGAAGTCCTCTCCAAGGACTGATCTCGCCTTGCAGCATATCCAAAGTATGTCAGACAAAGCTTCAGAATCCCTGCCTCCAAGGAGCAGCCTGGTTTAACCCTCTCCAGGACAAACCTGTTCATTCTCTTAGCAGTCCATGGTATATTCAACACCAGCAGTCTAACACCACAGCTCAAAGACGTCAATTTTACCTTCTGCCATCCTAGTTATTGTCCAGCTCTTTGATGTATAGCAAGTGATTGCAAAGACCATGGCCTGTATCAGGTGCACCGTAAACTTCAGACTGATATCATTGCTTTAAGTACTTTGGAGAGGTCTCTGACAACAGACTTTCCCAGTGCAATAAGTCTTTTCATTTCCTGACTGCTGGTGCCAAGAGTGTTGATTGTGGAGTCAAACAAATAAAGCTGATTACAATATCAGTCTCTTCATCATCTGTCATGATGCTGCTGATTAGCCCAGTGGTGCGAATCTTTGTTTTCTTGATGTTGAGCTTCAATCCATATTGGAAGCTGCAGTCCTTGACCTTCTGCAACAAGCGCCTCAGGTCCTCCTCAGTTTCAGCAAGCAGGGTTGTATAATCTGTATAATGCAGACAGTTGTTGAGTCTTTCTCCAAACTTGATGCCACATTTCTCCTCATAGAGTCCAGCCTCCTGGATCATCTATTCTGCATATAGACTGAAAAGGTGTGGAGATAGGACACATCCCTGGCGTCCACCCTTCCCAATTTTAAGCCATGTATGATTAACATTTTTTTCTCCCATTCTGTGAATTGTCTTTTGACTTTAGTGTGTTAATGAATGTAAAAGATGATAAGTTTTGTTTTATTCCAACTTATCAATATTTTTTATCTTGTGTATTTTGTGTTATATCAAAGAAATTTTGCCTAACTCAAGATCTCAATGATTTATTCCTGTAGTTTTTTAAAGTGCTTGGTAATTTTAATTCTTACATTTAGATCCATGTTTTGTGTTGCCACTTTGTGTTAACACTTTGTGTTAATTTTTTGTATATTGTGAAATATGAGTCTGTGTTGCAATGAATTACTTAATATGGCCCTTAATACTAGCCATGGCACAGTAATTTCACTCAGCGTATAGAATGAATAGATATGGAGAAAGGCTACAACCCTGAAGCAGACATTTCTTAATTTTAAACCATGTAGTGTTCCTTTGCTGTGTTTGCACTGTAGTCTCTTGGTCTAGGTATAGGTTTTACAAAAACATAATTAAGTGTTCTGGGATTTCCATTTTTCTCATATGTTAGCCATAATTTGTTATAAACTGCACAGTCAAATATGTCTTTGCATAGTCAGTAAGGCACAATAGACATTTGTATGATATTCTTTTTTTTCTATAATTATATTTTATTAATTTTCATAAACATTTACAGAGATTTTGGGTTTCCATTCATTCATTGTTGCACTATTCTCTCTACCCTCCTCCCAGTTTGTTCTTGTCCAAATGCCACAGTGCTTGTCAAAGCCAGTTCTGATTAATCTTCTTTGTCAGTGTGTCCTTTGCCATTCCCTATCACTCCTCCCTGAGAGAGACTTCACCCTGAGTCATAAGGAAAAGGGGATGGCGTATTCTCTTAGCTACTTCCTGCTGAAAAGGGACGCTGTGGGTTTCAGGGTGAAGATCTTCTCTCACTACTCTAAAGGGCCCCTTTGGCAGTAGGAAACACATAGACTATTATGGAGATTGATTTTGGAATTTAGATGCACTCTTATTGATTGTGCTTGGCCGTACATGTTCATATCCTTGAAGATGTATCATGGGGGTGTTGCAACCTAGAAGACACAAATTTGACTAACAAGTTATAAGTACATGAGTCCAAAAATTATGGAAAAGTAAAAGAAAAGATTCTTTCATTGTTTTACAAACCCTCCCCCAGGTCCCCTCCACCATGTAGCCCTCGCCCTAGTCTCCTGTGATGACAGAAATACCTAGTTATATATCTCTTTTAAACAGTTTTCTCCCTCCTCTGTTTCAGTGCAGTATACATTATTGTATGATATTCTTAGCTTTCAATTAGGATGCATCTGACATCAGCTATAAGATCCCTAGTGCTATGTCTTCTTCCAAGTCCAACTTGAACATCTGATAGTTTTTTGTCTGCCTACGGTTCTAGTTGTTTTGAATGATCTTCAGCTTGCATGTCATATCAATGATACTGTTCAGTAAATTCCATATTCTGGTGAATCACCCATTTTGGGAATGGGAGTAAATAGGAATCTCTCCCAGTAAATTGGCCAGGCAGCTGTCTTCTAAATTTCCTGGCATAAACGGCTGGGCGTGTCTAGGAATATAGCTGCCATTGAAAACATGTCAGTTGGAATCCCATCGATTCCTGGGGCCTTATTTTTTGCCAATGCCTTCAGTTCAGCTTGATCTTCTTCCTTCATTACCATTCGTTCTTGTCATATGGGACTTCATGAAGTATTTCCAGTGTTGGCCAATCCTTTTTGGTACAGTGATTCTGTGTATTTCTTTCATCTTTTTTTTTTATACTTCCTAGATCATTCAAGATTTTGCCCATAGCAACTGAAAGTATTACAACTTGAGGCCTGAATTTGGTTTTCAGTTATTTCAGCTTTGGAAATGCTGAGAAAATCCTTCCCTTTTTATTTTCCAATTCAGATTTATTGTTTATAGAGTTGCTATGAGTCATACTGAATAACACCTAACAACAATAACAACAACATCATTTTTAGTCTCCAGATGCCAAGTTCGGTTCCATTGATTAGTATGTGTATCTATTTGTTTGTACACAGTTTGATTACTACAGTTTGCAATAAGCTGTGAAATCAAGAAGTGTGAGTCCACGAACTGGGTCTATCTCAATATTGTTTTCACTATTTTTTATACCTTGTGTTTCCATGCAAATATTAGGATCAGATTGTCCATTTTACAAAAATGTAGTTGAATTTTTTTTTATTGGAAAAAACACATTGGAGGTACAAGAAGGTGAGGGTTGGGGGCAGAAGGGTGAGGATGGGCCAGGATGCAGTTGCAGAGCTGCACAGTTTGGTCGGTGGGGGGAGCAGGTGAAGGAGATGATGAGGGTCCAGTGGGGATCAGATGCTACAAAGGAATGACAAGCATTTTCCAATAGTAATTAAAGCAACTGTCTT